AAATGAAAAATGCCCACAAAAATCTCATATGCAAACGTCCTTAGCAGCTTAATGCACAACAGTCCCAAAACAGGAAATAGCCAAGGCGCCCATCAACAGGCAAAGGTATAAACAAACCTGGGGACATCCATGCAATGGAATACTGCTCAGCAATAAAAAGGAATCAACTACAAATACATGCAACAAGATGGGTAAATTTCAACATCTGTATGCCGAGTGACAGACACAAACTAGTACATGCTATTTGATTACAGTTAAATGAAATTCTAGAACAGGCAAAACTAGCCTGTGGTGATAGAAATCGGAACAGCAGTTGCTTCTGTGGTGGGGATTGATTGGGAAGGGGCATGAGGGAACTTCTGGTGTCGTGGAGGGGTGGTCTCCTCCTTCCCCAAACCAACAACTCTCAGCCTTGGGTTTCTGACGGCCCCTTCTACAGCCAGCCAGAGAGAACACGTGCAGTTGGGTCATGCCCACCTAGATAATCTCCCTATCTTAAGGTCAACTGTTACCATGTAACATAACCTAGTCCCAACTATGGTGCGGAGCACGCACACCAGGGCAGGGTAGGAAGTCATGGGGGGCTGTCTTAGAATCCTGCCTACCACAGAGAGAGGACAGTCATTTTTTAAGCAGTTCACTGTATTGAAGACTGGTTCTGAGTAGCCAAAAAAATAATAATAATCTGATGGACACAAACCCTGCCAAGCCTGTCTGGGCCTCCAACAGCCCGCCCGAGAGTGTTGCCCATCTGAGGGTACCTCTGTTTACTGCACAGCCTCCTGCAGTCTGTCAGGCTCTTTCACACAGTGTGCTGGCTGCTCCTACGACAACCCAGTGAGTATGTCCCTTCAGCCCCCTTTAACAAATGTGGACAGTGAGACCCAGTGTCACACAGGGGGTGGGTGCCTGAGTGTAGGTGGAAGTGCCCCAAATCCTTCTCCCAGCTGAGGGCTCTGTGACTCCCAGATAATGCAGATTCAACACAGACTAGAAGCCTACCTGCCCCAAAAAAGGGGCAGTTGGCGAATGGACACCACTTGGCCTTTGAACAGAGACCTCTCCCTGCATCATACTTTTGGAAGCCAGGGGGACACCGATGGAATGTGCTGATTGTCTGTCTTCCCACCAAGATCCGGTGTCTGGGTCAACCACTGGCCTCAGAGGAATGTCTCCCATTCAGCCTGAGGGTGGGGAGATCCCC